ATTTTTGTAGGTCTCCTGAAGGGCTAGAGCTAGCCACAGGTTCCAAAAAAACAACACTGCAGCTGGTATTTTTTTTGGCACATACCACCTATCAGTGGGAAATACAACTCATACAGCCCTTTACAACATTTACTAACTCAGTCATACAGGATGTGGCTGATTCTTATCCACAAGCACTCCTGACTATCTCAGAGATTAACCTGGACATCCAAATATAATCACACTGTTTAGAAGACCATAGAGCTGGGGACATAGAAAGGATTTCAAAGACCTCTATTTTCCCTCAACAAAACAGGAAATCTGCCCACACACATAGCTCATCACCACTCCAGCCTTCAAATAACTAGCAACAGACAAAACTACCACACTAAGGATCTCTATAACCAAGGGCATCCACCCAGAACCCAGACTCCATCAAAGCACCCACAAGCAAAGCCAAAAGCTCTTATCCAAGATATGTGACAGACATGCCCTTCAGAGTGATAGTGGTGGGAGGGAAGCTCCATCTAAATAAAAGAAAATAGAAAAACAACAACCAGCATCTGCTCCAGATGAGAAGGAATCAGCACAAGAACTCCAGAAACATGAAAAATTAGAGGAAAAGGACAATCCCATGGGGCATACCAACTATGTAGAAATGGATCCCAACCAAGATGGAAATACTAAAATGACGTAAAGAATTCCAAATATGGATTGTAAGAAAGCTCCATGAGATCCAAGAGTAAGGAGAAAATCAATTCAAAGAAACCAGAAAAAAATCTGAAAATGAATAAGAAATTCACTAAAGAGATAGGTGTATTAAACATAAATAGAACTTCTGGAAATTAAAACTTCATTTAGGGAAATACAAAACACAGTGGAAAACTTTACGAACATATTAGACCAAGAAGAAGAAAGAATTTCAGTCCTTGAAGACAACTCTTTCAAATTAACCCAGTCAAAAATAAAGAGCAAAACTCAAGAAAAACAAAGCCTACAAGAAATGTGGGATTATATAAAACAGTCAAATTTAAAAATCGTAGGTCTACCTAAGGGTGAAGAAGAAAAAGCACAAGGGGTTAGAAAGCCTACATTGAGGGAAACTTCCCTAGCTTTGCTAGAAATGTAGACCTCTAACAAGAAGCTCAACAAATACCTGGAGACTCACTGCAAAGAAGCAATCACCTAGACATACAGTCATCCCACAGGCCAAAGACAAAAAGAAAGAGGAATTTCTCCAAGCCAAGAGGCAAAAACATCATGTAACTTAGAACTTACAAAGGAATACCCACCAGGTTAAACACAGTCTTCTCAGCAGAGACCTTCCAAGCCAGAAGGGGTTTGGGTCCCATCTTTAGTATTCTTAAACAGAACAACCGCCAACCTAGAGTTTTATATCCTGCAAAACTAAGTTTCTTCTACAGACAAGAAATAAAGACTTTTCCAGACAAGCAAACACTGAGGAAATTTAGCATGACCAGACATGTCCTGCAGAAAATCTTCCCATCTGCCTTATTCATGACCCACATAATAGACACCCACTCATGTACAATCACCCAAAGCTAAAACGCTTATATACACCTACAGCACAAGAGGGAAAACAAAGCAATAAGGCAATACCCAGCATGATAAACAGAACAGCATCCTACATATCAATTCTATCCAAGTGAGCAGTCTTAATGTCCCACTGAAGAGACACAAGCCAGCTGAATGGATGAAAGAATACAACCCACCTATACACTGTGTCCAGGAAACACATTTAATCCACAAGGACTCCTACAGGCCAAAGGTGAAGGGATACAAAAAAATACTGCATGCAAACAAAAACCAAAAGTGTTGCCACTCTCACATCAGATAACATTGACTTTCAACCAACAATGGTAAAGAAAGACAAAGATGGCCATATAATGGTAAAAAGAGCAAACAACAAAAAGGCATAACAATCCTAAATATCTAAGACAGCAGTTCTCAACCTGTAGGTCGAGACCCACAGGAACTGTATTAAAGGGCCACAGCATTAGGAAGGTTGAGAACCACTAAGCTAGGATATCCTAAATATATAAATAAATATCTAGATCTTATATGCAGACAACCCCAAAGACTCCACCAATAAAGTCTGAGAACTGATAAAACAATTCAGCAAAGGCTCAGGTTACAAAATTAATGTACACAAATCAGTAGCATTTCTATACACCAATGACAGTCAAGCTGGGAATCAAATCAGACTCAGTACCATTCACAATAGCTACAATGAAAATAAAATACCTAGGAATATATTTAAAGAAGGAGGTGAAAGATCTCTACAAGGAGAACTACAAAACACTGAGGAAAGAAATTGCAGATGACACAAATAATAGGCAAATACTCATATATCATGTTCATGGGTTAGCAGACTCAACGGAATTACAATGTCCACACTACCTAAAGTGATCTACAGATTCAATGCAATCCCCATCAAAATATCAATGATTTATTTCATAGATCTAGAAAACACAATCCTATGCTTTGTTTGGAACCAGAAAAAAGCCTGAAATGCCAAAGCAATCTTGCAAAAAGAAAAAATCGGGAGGCATTAAATAATAAGATTTCAAACTACACTACAGGGCTGTAACAATCAAAACAACATGGTTTTGGCACAAAAACAGGGACATTGACTGATGGAACAGAACAGAGAACCCAGATACAAATTCAACTATTCAGCCAATCGATTTTTTACAAAGCAGACAATAACATACACTAGGGAAAAGCAGTCCTATTCAATAAATGGTGCTGGGAAAATTGGATAGCTTATCACTCACAAAAATTAACCCAAGAAGGAAAAAAGACTTAACTGTAAGACAAGACACCATAAGAATGCCAAAAGAAAATGTAGTAAAAACTATTCTAGAGAGTGGCCCAGGTAAAGAATTATAGCAACAAAAAAAAATAAATAAAGGGGACCTGATTAAGTTAAAAGCATTTGCACAAATAGGAAAATAATCAGACAACCTACATAATGGAATAAAATAGTTGTAAACTATACATCTGATAAAGGGCTAATATCCAGACTCCACAAAGAACTCAAATCACCAGTAAGAAAACAATGCCATTAAAAAGTGAGGGAAAGACATGAACAGAAATGTTTCAAAATGAATAGAGAAATGGCCAAAAAAACATGAAAAAATGCTCACTATCACTAATTGTCAGGAAAATGCAACTTAAAAGCACAAGATATCACCTCACCCTGTTAGAATGGCTTTTACTAAAAAGTCCACAAATAATAGATGCCTGCATGGATACAGAGAGAAAGGAATGCTTATTCTGTTTTAGTGGAACTGCAAATCAGTACAACCTCTATGGAAAATAGTATGAGATTTCTCAAAGATCTAAAAACAGACCTACCATTCCATCCAACTATCCTGCTACTGGGTATCTACCCAAAGGAAAATAAGTCATTTTAAAAAAAAAAAAAAAATCCTGCACTCAAATGGTTACTGTAGCACAATTCACAACTGCAGAGATCTAGAGTCAACTGAAGAGGAGTCACAAGTTACCCAGTAACATGGATGGATAGTTTCTGGTGAAATTGCCAGTCAACAGTGTGTTAACACGGCAGCTGTTCCCTAATTCATTTCTCCCAGTCTTAATTCCTAGCTGTCCCAAATTCAGACTATTTTATTCTTTTTCCCCTGTTCATCTCTCAGCTGCTTATAATACAGAATCACTCAGCATCTCTAACATCTTAATAAAATGTGGCATATGTATACCATGGAGTACTACTCAGCCATTAACAAGGATGAATTCATGCATTCTGCAGCCATTTGGATGGCTAAGCAAAGTATTTCAAGAACGAAAAAACAAATGTCACATATACTATCTAATAAACTGGAAGTAATGGAAGGATGCCCTTGTGCACAGATGGAAATAAAAGTCAATGGTAATCAAGCAGAGGGCAGGGACGAGGAGGGAGCCAAAAATCTACCTAATAGATATAATAAACATCATTTGGGTTATGGGCACAATTCTAGCCCTGAATCAAGCATTACAAAAGCTGTCCATGTAACAAAAACATTTGTACCCTCTTAATATTTGAAATTTTCAAAAAGTATGGAAAAGATACAAAGTACAGACTTTTGGGCATAAATTGGGAAAATAAAGAAATCAAAACTGTATTACACAAAAATATGTTCATTCTGATTCTTTTTACATAATCTGAAAGATCTGGCTGTTACCATTTGGATTTAATCCAGTTCTTAAGATACCAAATTAAATTTTACACAAAAGAGGTGTTTGCCCAGAATTCCACTCACTGGATCTCAACAGTTACCTTGAGTTCACCTACAGCTTAGGGAAATAGTGGTGAACTCTGGCACTGCATAAAACTCACTCATTCCCCTTCTCCATCTAAGGCCTCCTCCTCCTCCTCCTCCTCCTCCTCTCTTAATTTCTTTTCTTATTTAAGAAAACCTGAATCAGCAGAGTCAAACTACGGGCTCACTGCCCCCCCCCACCCTCCACCCCTGCTTTCCCCATTGCTCTGTCTTGGTGTTCTGCACCCCTAGTGCCCAAAACCTGCTCAGCACGTGGCCTGGGACAGAGCAGGCACTCAAATACACGTTTTAACATAGAATGGATAAACTTCAACTCTAAAGACTTTAAAACTGTAAGTTTGAAAAGTTTGTTTTTGTTTTTAAATCTTGCATCATCACACAGCCCATCTGTACACTTTCTCCTACCACCACGTGTAAACAAGAGGCTTTGCCAGTCAAAAGCAGTTGACATCTCACGTCTTCCCACTTCCTTAAGACGCCCATGCCTAGCCGGCGTCTGCCCTTGACCCCATTGATTTTAGGAAGCTGCAAGCAGCACTGACCACAGGCTCCGGCGCCAATAGGTGCATGCTGACCACCGGCGGGGCGCCCTGCGCTGGGGAGGAGCCCTGCGCCCCCGGCCCATTCTGCACAGACAAAGGCCGAGGGGGAGGGGAGGGACGCAGGGGGCAAGAGCTGCAGGCGCCCGGGGGGCGCGGCGGGGGTACTCACCGCGGTCTCATCGCGGTACACGTCGGGGTACTGGAGAGATAGCATGGTCGGGGACGAGCAGAGGGCGGCGCGGCACGGGTTCCGGGAGCGGCTGAGCTGGCCGGGCTGACGGAAGGGCACGGCGGGGGCGCAGGCAGAGGCCGCGCGGGCGGCGGGGCGCTCCGGCAGAGCTAGCACGACAGGACGATGACCAACGCGAATGCTCACTAGCACCCGGGGAACTACCGCTGGGGCGGAAATGTTACGCGCCGCCCGCGAGATCCCACGCGCCGCCCGCGAGAATCTGCGCATAGCGCCGCGGCTCCGACGCGGCCGCGAGCTCCTCCCCGGCGGGCGGGCCCAGCGGCTGCAAGAGGGCGCGGGCGGCGCCGATCGCGGCCAGGCCGGGCGCACAGCTCCCTCTGCAGGAGCGCCGGCCGCTCCGCGCCGCCCGCCGCCCGCTGTCCCCAGAGTCGCTCCGCGCACCGCGGCGCAGTGCTGGCGCTCGCCGGGCTCCCTCTCGGAGAACTTCAGTGTGTATCTACGGATGGATTTGCCCATCTTCTCCAGCCTTCCTGTTTCCAGGCAGGGTGGAGGCGGCGAAGGCCGACCTAGCCTTGGAAGCAGAGGGCTTGCAGTAGCCTAATCGCCATTGCCTGCGACCCTGGACTTGCAAGGGGAGAAATGGATCAGGATGACCGTGAAGGAAACTCATCTCCTTTCACCCCACGACTCCTGGTGGACACTGGGTGTTTCGGCACCAGGATTATGGAGAGGCTTTGGTGTTTGTGGGACAACAGATGACCCCTTATTTGAAATTTACTAATTGAGAGGGGACTGAGGATGGGAGGCCTGCAGACCATCATGGGTATTTTATTCGTCCTGCCGGTGCCTCTGTTCCTCCTCCTGCTAATGTGTTTATTGAGCCCCTGCTGTTGCTCCTGTGGGGAAAAAGATATTAGACAAGATGCTTCACCTCCAACCTATGAAAATTTGCTAGTTACATCACATTATCCTCAGGCTAGTGATGTGTGCTCTGGTCTTGCTTTCTGGACCACCTGGAAGAGGCATGATAGCCCCAGTCATCAAGGCTGGAGGGTGTGCCCAGTGTGTTTGTATCCCTGGCTTTTTTAAAGTGCTAGGAGAGAGCACGAATGTGACCAGAAAGTCCTTCACATCCTGGCTTCCAAGTGGATAGGTAACTGTTGGAAACGGGTGTCTGCTATTTAGTGTTACCCCAACTCACCCTTAGTTCACTGTTTCTGTTTGTGGTTGAATGTGTGGTCACTGTTTTCTGCACCTGACCCCGGACATCCCCTCTTTGGGCAATCTGAGAATCCTTAGGTCTGGAAGAACTCACATTATTGATGCCAGACTTGGTGCAAAGGTAGTGGAGCCCTGCTCAGAAGCCGTGGTCATCCCTTAGGGTGGGGCAAAACGTAGAGCCATGTCATGGGATGGAGATCAAAGACCCTGATTCGGGTTTGAAGTGTGCAAAATCTGAAAGGTCCAAAGACAGACACCAAAGTTAGCGTGTGAGATCTAGAGTTTGGGGCCAGGAAAATCAGAGCTATGTAAATTGTGAACTGTAAACCAGAAAAAGACAGAGAAAGGCGGAAGGGACTTGGAGAAGGTCCTCAGTAATTAATGACTGCTCACAATCAGCTGTCACTGTGTCCTATTTAAGGCCCAACAAGAGAGCAGGGCAAGGGTGGGTCCACAGTAGTAAAAGCTCAGGGAGAAAGACCAGCAAGCATGATGACCGCAGTGTAAGGTTAGGACATTTCCATTTTTATCAACAAAGAGCAATTACATAGCTTGCCAATAGGAAAGGTCCTTTGAACTCTCACTGAACCAGATCCTCAGGATTTCTTTCTGCAAACATTTCTTTCTGAGAGTTTGCTGCTATGCAGTGAAGCTTCCAGGTTTATCCTTACAGTTCAAGGGCTTCCCTCTCAATGCTCACTGTCCACTAGATTAAGGGAGAGCAACCCTGGATGCTCCCAGGACCTCTTTAACAGCTTAGACTGGGTAATGGACTCAAAGAAAGAGTTTCGCAGTAAACATAACTCACTCATCTCCTGCTCTAAAACCTATATGAAGACAGACCAAACAAATCACTCAGAATATACCAACCCCTTTTAAAGGCGAAGCCTAGTGATTTGGAGTCCAGTGGATAAATATGTTCTCTACACCTTGGGACAGGTAGGACATTCTCCCATTCAGGTGGCTAGCAGTAGTGTGGGATAAGGGCTCCCCACAATCCATAGTACCACTGTGCCAGCTCCCCATCAAGCCCCTGTCAAGGAGTGTGGAAAAGATACCTGAGTGTCAGGATCTCTTGAATGATCTGGGGTGCTAATTGTGGATTCTTGGGAGAGTGTCTAGAATATGATTTCTTGAGGTCCTTTCTTCCTGTCTCAGAAAAAGGGGCTAGCTGCTTACTAAGCCATCTTCTTTGAAGTGCAGTGGAGTCTAATTCCTAATTGTCCCATTTCTAAAACCTACTAATCAGAAGTGTGAGCACAGTCCCAGTCAATTCTATAACTTCTCAAAGCTGCCAGGATCTGACAGATAGCCCCTTGTCCTTTATTCACTAACTGTTAGTAATAGTTTGAGTCCTGACGCACACTCTCTTAAGCCCTACAGCCAGTTGGTGTTTCAGTTTTCTGCACTGCCCTCTGTTGGCCTGACTGAGACTTATTCTGAGCTGGGGTGGCTCCTATTGTTAAGAATTAGAATTTTGATGAGAGCTCCCCCTAGGTCAATTGCTTGATCAATTCCTATCACTCTGGGTTCCCTTTCCTTATCTGGTAAAGTTTCCAATTCATACAGAATTTAGCAATGCTTATACTCTGCCTGTAGTCTCAGCTACTTGGAGGCTGAGGCCAGATAGTTGCTTAAGCCCAAGAATTTGAGGTTGCAGTGAGCTGTGACACCACCACACTCTACTGAGGGTGACATAGACTCTGTCTCAAAAAAAATTTTTTTTTTGATCAAATTTGTATTTGCTGGCCTACAGAATTTGATACCCTACTAAAGCCCCTCACTTCTAAACCTGACCTGATATTACTATTACTCTGTACATACAGGAAAACCGATTAAAATCCATTTGAAGGATAAAACACAAATATTGGGTCATGCATCAAAATTTCACCCATTTTTCTCTTTAATAACACAATATAACTGTCAAAGGTAGTCACTTAACAGATCTGTTCATGTAACATTACAGGGCACTGTACTAAACAGTGGAATTACAATACAGAACATGTTGGCTTTATCTCAAATATTATCTCATTTTATTATTATTATTTATTTTAAGAGATGAGGTCTTGCTCTTGCTCAAGCTGGTCTTAAATTCCTGAGCTCAGGCCATCCACCCACCTCGGCCTCCCAGAGTGCTGGGGTTACCAGTGTGAGCCACTGCACCAGGCCTCCTATTATTATTATTATTATTTTTTTTGGCTGGGGCTAGGTTTGAACCCACCACCTCTGGTATATGGGGCTGGATTATTGTGTTAGGATTTTGACAGCCACTTCAGGAGCTAGTCTTTCATTTAATAAACATGTGTTGAGTACCTACCACTTTATAGGCACTATGCTAGGAACTGGAGATTCATGGAGCCCAGTTTTAGGAGGTAACTATAATTTAATGTGTTAGGACCCATAAGACAGGGTGCTGTGGGAGCACAGAGGTCACCTAACTTAGTCTTGGAGGAATAGAGAAGGATCCCCCAAGATAGTAATGTCTAAGCTGAGTTCTAAAAAAATTAATAAGAATTTACCAGTTAAAGATCTGGAGGTGGCGGGTAGGAGGGGGGTGCAGAATGTTGAAGGGAGAATCTTGTGGAAATGCTGGGAGCTGAGGAAGAGGGGCACATGAGAAAACGTGAGTGTGATGTGGTTGGAATCTATAGAGCAATGTGAGAGTGAGGGGAGATGAAGCTGGAGAAGAAACTGGTTGAATTATGCAAGTCTCCTGTGTTCCTTTTTGATAGGGGAGTAGAGTTGTGTACTGGTTTTACAGTAAAAAGCTCATGTAGGGTGTGAGTTAGATAATCTCATGGATGTGATAAAAATTATGAGTCAGGACAGGCTTTGCTGCTATAACAAAGACCTAAACATTCAAGAACTTGGAGAGCAGAAAGTTTCTTTCTTTGTCACCTTACAGGTCTCAGTAGTTCCAAGTCAGCAGCCTAGAATAGCCAAGAGAGAAAGTGGCCTCTGCTCCTTGCAGAGACCCAGCTGCCTGCAGCTGTGCTACCTCTAACACAATGTCGTAGGCTGGACAGCTAGGAGGGGAGAAGGGCATCGTGAGTAGGTGGCTTTTGTAGGTCAGGTCTGAACATAGCACACATTGATTCCTTTCACGTTCCACTAGTCAGAACCCAGTCACATGGCTATACTACAAGAGAATCTGGGAAATGGAGCCCAGTTTTATGTCAAGGAAGAAGAGGAAATGGATGGGGGGGAGGGGATGGCTGCAGTCTCTGCCGCACTGATAGAGGGAAGAGCTGGTAAGCTGTGAATCAGAACCATTGCTCACACCTTTCCCTCAGAGTCCTTTGTTGGGCGGCCTCTGAGTATTGCATAGTTCTGGTCTCTCATTTTCTAATTCCCGCATGCAATTGTATATTGGACCTCTCGGATTATTTATCTCAATCCTAGCTGCCTGTATTTCCTCAACCAATTCATGCTTTGATCCATCTCCTTGCACCCTCAACCTGTTTTAAGGAGAGAGGCCAACCCTGCTGGTCGGTTGGGGTAACCAGAAATGCTGGTTGGTGAATCAGTAGGTGGCACTCTGTGTCAGCAAGACAACAGTTCCAAAGCAACACACGTAATGAATGCAAGGATTCAGTCACGCTCAGGAGAACACAACAACATCGGCTTGCTTGACCTATTTCCTCAAGACTAAACTTTCAAAAGAGTAACCACACCCAAACTGACCAGTTGATTGTTAAAAACAGGGATGTCAGCATATTCTGAAGTGACTGCCAACAAAAATATTTCCTTTGTGTAAATGCTTTCTTCATATTCCACTCAGGAAGGGCAAAGAAGTTCGCCATGTCTGGGTTGGAGTGCACCGTGAACCACTCTTCTCAGGGTTTCTTCCAGGGAGTTTCTCTCTCTCTCTCTCTCTTTTTTAATGGGAGTTGAGGATACTGCTTTTATTAAAATAAGCACTGATATGTTTTCTTTGCTGTTGGAAAATCCCAG